TTACGGCTTTTGATCGGCCCAATGATTATGTCCAAGATGACGAGGCCGACGAGGCTGAAAGAGCCGCAGATGATGATAATGCCGCCGGTGGAGATGCCGGCGGTGGAGGCGGTGACGCTGGTGGTGGCGGTGCAGGGGGTGATCCCGGAGCGGGTGGTGGGGGTGCCGCAGCAGGGGGCGGAGATGCTGCCGCTGGTGGAGGAGATGCTGCAGCGGGTGGTGCAGATGCTGCAGCTGGGGATGGAGCAGCTGCTCCTGGCGAGAGCGATTTTGAAATTAATAAGGAAGATGTCGGCACCGATTGGCGTTATGGTTTCGCGGGCATGGGCACAACCCACGAACAGATGGGCCAAACCCATTGGTCGCCCGTGGATTACACCGAGTTTGAATCAAAGGTTGAATATAGAAAGCCCGAACAGTATTCCAAACTGGGCCTCGATCCCGTCTTCAACTTCACCCACTATTTGTTCAACAGGACGATGACCGATCAGCCCGCTTTGCCGGAGGGTGAGCATTTGACTTTGAGTTGTCCATTGACACGTATTGAAGGCTTTTATTCGCAGGCTATCTTATTTTGAAGTCGACGGATACTCTGCTGATGGGCCCCAAAACGGAGATGAACGATTGGCGCGACCTGCTCTGGATGTACTGGACGTATCTCCTATTTGTTTCCTTTCTCATCTTTCTGATCATTATCGTGCCCTTCCTTGCGTGAGTATATCTAGTTAGATAATAGATAAATAGATCTGAGATCTGATTGCAGGGTTTGTTATTGTTGCTTCTGTTGCTGTCGACGTTGCCCGAGAGGTTGTCCGCCTTGCACTGGAGCTCGAGATGCCCGTCGTCGGCTTTTATGTGGATTTCTGCTCTTGTTGCTTATCCTTTTGCTTTTGTAATTATTGAGAAAGCCTTTTTTTGTAATTGGACTTATCTCATTAATATTGACTTACCCTCAGGCTTGGCAGTATTATTGCCTTGCTCGCCAACATATTGATCGACAAGGGATTCGGTGAAACGAGGGAATTGATGAAACGCAGCTCTGATGATACCTGCCGCTTCCTAAACGATATCTCGGCTCACATCAACCATCTGCTTGGCAACAATTTCGAAGAGACCGTCAATCATTTGACCGACATGGTCAACAGTAAGAACCAATTAATTCTGTTAAGAATTCAAATTCAAAATTCTCACTTCCATTTGCAGCTGCACCCAATCACATTTTCTTGGATCTGGGCGATACTTCTGAGGCCAATGCAGTGGAAGAGATGGAGCGCATTTTCGATAATATGCCCAAAGCCCTGAGACTTATGATGGATGTGAATGTCCTCGAGAAGGAGTTACGCTTTCTAACCTGCCAGCTGCGAGATGGTAAATATCACAGATTTTCATTTTGAATTAGAAGGATTTTCGGTAATATGCCAGGGCAACAATGTGTCTAGCTCTCCAAGAAAATGCCACGGAAATACTTTGGGAAAATGCCTTCTGTATGTTCCTTCCTTTTGTTTAACCTTTCGATCGAAAGAGATGACCCCTTTTAAAGATCGACCCCAACATTTAACTCGCTTGCTTAAATGTTGCTGCAATTCGAGAGCTAAGCTGAAAGGAAAGAGAGCTCAAAGAGCTCCGTCCATCCTTCAGTCTTTCTAGACCCAAATACATGCAGTTTGGTATAAAGGTTCTACTGATATCCTTAAAGTTAGAGCCTTGCTTAGGTATATTCCATAAGTTGGGAAAGTAGAAGCATGTGAATGGGAAGATGCTGCGTCTAGTGCATCCTCTCTAGGTCGGGCAAGTCTTTCTTACTACCCTTTCTTTACAGGAGTTCGCGGCGTTAGGCGAGAAGCCACCCAGGCGTGCCTCTTGTCCAACAATTTGAGATGCAACAAATTTATAAGATACTCATCAATTCAGTATATGGATAGCACGACCTGCTTGCACATAGATCAGGTGGGTTCGAATCAAAGTATATGGATGCCAATCGATTTAACCAATTTGTCAACCTCAACAGTTGCCCGATTCGACCTTATATGTGGAGGGAATGAAGAAACTAATCAATGCGAAGCTATCTATGGTAGCCAAGAACGCCTTACTGCGACTGCAGGATGTTAAAAACGCGATAAGCAAGCAGTTGGAGAAGGTGGGACCGCCACTTATAACCAGTCTGAACAAGGGCCGTGATGTGTTCATGTTTGAAGCGAACAAGATACGCAACCTAATCGAACGCATTGTCAGCGATATACATTTCAATACACTTAGATCCTCCAAATCATTTGAGGGTCTCTACGAAAAGTTTGCAGTCGATCGCTCCCGAATCAACCTTGCCATCTGCATCCTACTCATTTTGGTAAGTACGCAACCATGGAGGTTCATCATTCTCCAGCCAAATCTTATTGCGTATTTATTCCATTTTAGATTGTGATCCTTCTGATTGTTGCTTTGATATTGGGCTGCTTTTTAAGCAAGGGCCTGGCAGCCTTGCTATTGTTTTGGTAAGTGGAGAATTAAGCAACCTTTTTGAAGAGTTTGGCGCGGGTATTCCAATTGCAACCCGAGCTCATAGACTATATGTCTAGATCTTGTCCGTGACAACGTATCCGAAATTGATTAGAAATTTTCCTAAGAAAAACTCCAAATATTTTATGTTCGGCTCGCCGAAGATTCCATAGCCTAATAGACTAAGGGACTAGCCTGTATAATAATTAGTCAACTAAGATAGATAGATAGCTACAGGGGCTTGATCGGTTTTGATCGGATCTGATCAAGACTGTGTACATATAGGGAAAATAATTATAGAACAATTTTAACGGATTGTGGTTTGTGCTCGTGCTGGCGTCGTGTCGTGATTCGTGTCCTTAAGCCGTTCCGTCTCCATTTGATAAATTCATCCTTGATTATTCTTGGCTTGCAGCGTCATGATCTTGATATTCTGCGTGTTCTCGTTTTTTGTGTTGGTTGGGCTTTTCTACTTTATGCTCGGAATGGTGGCCTTTCATGGTGCCTGTGCACCGCTCAAGGACTCGGCGAATATATTCCGTCATGTGGCTAGTGCGGTCGATCTCAACCGATTTGTGCCAAAGGATATCGACTATCTGGGCGGGCCACAGCCGGTGCAGGTCTCGAATGCACTCAAAGGCTGTCAAATCCATCAGACCATATTCAATGTGCTCTCCGACAGCAATGAATATGATATTACGGATTTGACGCGCATCAGCATATTGGATGACCCCGATGATACAGTAAATGAAGTGGAAGAGGACTTCTCCAAAGTTGTCCTGTTTACGATGGCGGAAAAGAAACTCTTAATTGATCATATATCTGGGAATTTATCGTCGTACCACAGCATTCTCTATATTCAGAACTTGTGCAAAACCCTAACGCCGCACACGTTGCCCTATGTGGCCAACGAAATACGGGATATATGCAAGGATCTCTATTCGGGCTTTTATGGGGGCCATTATTTTGTTCGCGTGGCCCTGACCAACTGTGCCCTGAGTCTGGAAGCTTACAATAAGGAATGGGTTGGCAAGATCCAAGGTCTTCAAGATTCCATCAGGCAGAAGTTACGCAAAATTGATGAACTCATCTTGTACAATAATAATAATTTTGGCGAATCTCTGCATGTGCTGCTTTCCACGATAATGCGATCGGAAGCATTTATACAGTCGCGCGGCAAAAAGTATATAAGTGAACTCACGCGGAATCTGACCTCATATTGTGCCGAACAGATCGATCTGTACATTGATATGGTTATATCCAAGTGTTCCACAGAAGTCGGCGAATGCAAGCCGCTCGCCTACACATATTATCGCGGTGTTGAGATGATTTGCTATCGTCTAGTTGACCCGATTGTGAGTAGAGTATTTTTATACTTTTGCATATTTAGCCCTTCATCGATTCTGTTCGAGCTAATCGTAAATATAACACAAACCGTTAGCTCGAACATGTTGCTGAGTCGAGCAGGTCGAACATATTGCTGACTCGAGTTGGCCGAACATGTTGCTGACGCGAGCAGGTCAAACATGTTGACGACTCGAGCAGTTCGAACTTCGTTTGTTAAATCGATAATCAGGTTGTTCGATTGAGTATCCAAGTTTTAATACCTTAACCAAAAATATAGAATGCATTTTGGGTTGGCCTCTTGATGTGCTGTATGCTCTTTATACCCCTCTTGTTTGTTATCCATCGTTTAATGTGCCTGTACAAGGTGTACGAGCCGTATCACAGTCCACGTCACAACACAACGGGGGCAGGAGACATGGCCGGTGCTGGTGCCGTGGCCGGATCCGCGGCCGTGGTTGGATCCAAGTAGGTGTTACATTTGTATATTTTATTTAATCATCCAACTAAAAATTATTGCAGTAGACCTTATTCGACGCCCTCGTGTCCAATTTGCACGGGTGCACCATATACTGTGCCCCCAATTGTTACCTGTGGCGGTGGCCAGCAGGGCTCTTGCCCATGCCCAGGTGGTGGTGAGAACCGCTCTCCTGGCGGAATGAGCGGAAGCATTGTTGTATCTCTGCCTGAGAATATGCCGAATGAAAGTTATGTGGGGAGCGATGCGGCTATTTTTCAATGCAATAAACAAAAGAATGACTAAGTTGAATCATTGATGATTTAAATTTAACGGTTGACAAGCATTCAAATGTAACGATAATAATTCCAAATATACGTTACAGAAATGCATCGCAGTTGTATTGGTTATCGGTTTCGTTAAGTTTTAAGTTTTGTGCATTGCGGTAAGAAAACAAAACGCTAAGAACGTAAGTGTAACGGCACAGAGCGAAGCAGAATCAATCAGTTCTTATAAAAAGTGATTACTTATTATTAATGGAAACACTAAACGCAATAAACATTTCAATTGTCTTAATCTCAACATATGTTGGCACACTCCTTCGTTTAAAAATTATCGGTACTAATCGCAGCTTCTCTGTTACTGTCATATCGATATTTCAATGTATATAAACGATAGTTTAACTCTTGGTAATACTTTCGTTATTACCATCTCTAGCAGTAGTTGTTGTGTGGTACGCGCGTCGGAACGAACGTCCGACGACGTCTCAATTCTTGTCGAAATTGTGTTAAGTGCCCCTTTAATCAAAAGGTGATTGGCCAGTGAATATAAATGAATTCTGAATTAAAATATTACTATATTTGCATTATGAAATGTGTAAACAAAGTGTCGCATGTCCACAGACCCAGATCCACCACCATTCGTGCTCTGCGCGCTGTGCAAACAAAGAAAAGAATGTTCTGATGGCAGCAGCAGCAGCACCAGCGGGCGGTGCAATAGATACACACACATTCATACACATGCACATGCTATATACGTATGTATGTATGTACATGAAAACACAGTTGCCAATTGAAAAAAAATAATTTGTGCCTTTAAAAATTATTAATATTATTTATGAAGAAGTACAATAGCGTTACAATAGCGTAACGTTTTTTTTTTTTGAGGAAATTGTACATATTTTGTATTTGCACGTGCATGTGCTAATTTAAATTCAATCAAACTTAATTTATGTTGAAATATGCATACTAATGCGTGCATAAGAATATTAAGGACAGTGTAAAATTCATACATACTACATACATATAGATTTGTGTTTTATGTGAATGTGTATGTACCTACATACATATGCACATAGTTTGACCCACGCACAGCTGCAATTCCAATTAGAATACGGGGTCGCGTAAGCAAACTCAGGCCACTGGAAGCTGTAGAGCAGCCAAGGGAAGGGCGGGGTGTATGCTTCCGCTGGCAACGAAGTGTGTACTACAAATCAAATACATTTGTGCAAATAAGCTCTGGGCTTACAGTTATTTATTGAATCCGTAAGAATATCATATTTATAAAATTCAATTAAAATGAAAGTGTTGTCCAACGTTCTAAAGGCTGTTGCCTAGTTGCAGTACAGTGTTTCGTATTGCAGTAACACACACATACTCACACACACACACACACACACAGGTGTATGCACAGCGTTCTTGGCTTTGTGCATAAGTGTGTGTAGCATTAATGACTAATTGGATTTGGAAGTTGCCGTCAGCCAAATGATAATTTTTTTAGTTGTGCTTGTATGTATGTATGTGTAACGAGAAGAAGCTGAGACAAAGACACATAAAAAGAAAACCGTAACTCTTGTTGTTGCTATTCGTGAGTGCGAGAAGTGCGATGAGTGCGTTTCTGATTCAGCTTGTTTATTACAATTGGTCAGGGTAAGGGTGAGGTAAGGGTGCGGGCGAGGCTGAGGCTGAGGTGAAGGCAACTCTGGCATTGCGACGCTCTCTTTTTTTTTTTTGTACATATTGTTTTGTTTTGAGGAATTATAGAGCACTGGTGCTCCGAATGGAACTGCAGACGCGCTCTCACACGCTGCAGCCTCAGATCGGAAGCAGGGCAACATAAAAGCAACAACAAATATGGAAGAAAAAAAACAGTATTTACAGTGAGCTCAGTGCTAGGTGGACAATGCATACTAGAAAATCTCTGTTATTCGAAATTCGATAAGAGCTTTCACTGCATATGCCTAAGATATGCGCAGACACGGAGACGGATACATCCCTGACCTGTGTAAAATACACGCATACATGCAGCATATGATGTGCACATATACATAGATGTAAATGCCATTACCTATATTCCCATGTATATATGTATATGCGAGACGCTGCACGCGTCCACATAGTAGCTGCTACCAGAAACCGAAACCCACATCAAGTGGCCTATGCGCATGTACTATGTATTTATAGGAAGCGTCGCCGGCATAAGCACTCACACACACACACACACACACACACACATACGTATATATACATCTCTGTTTTTGGGAACATTTGCATTCCACACGCGCCTCGTGCATGCGAAATGGAGTTAAAAACATGAAGAACTAAAAACAGTTATCTTTTGGATTTTGAAAGAATGAATACATTGTCGTTGTAATAGTGCGATGTTAATAGGATAGGGCTCATATAACGGAGCCATGTTGGAACCCGTAAATATTAATATTGGGTTATCTTGAAAGCTTATGCTTCATCCGTGCCTGGAGCTGGCGTTTGCTGCTTCATATGTATTCCTTTTCACCCTGCTCATGCTGTTGTCCAATCTGAGCCAATCTAGGTCGACTGATAAATATGTATGTATATATACCTATTGGGAAAGTAATTTCTTATTCCCAATAAATATTCATACTTCGTGTGAAAACTACTATAGCCCTGTCGGGGTATAACAATGCAAATATGCATGTAATACCAAACATAACCTCACAAATCATGCACTTTTGCTGAGGTTCTCTTGATGCAAGTGTAACTGATATTTCCTGCCTGTCTCTTGCCCCTCTCTCTCTCTCCATCTTCCTCGCTCTTTGTTGCTTGTCTTTCGAGGTCTATATACTTGTCTACGCTCATTGTTTGCCATCTGTCTCGCTCGCACGCGTGCTCAATTTCAATTGAAATTATTTCTTTGTGTCAGCTTTTGATTAGCCACCGAAAATTGCGGTTACTCTGGTCTCAGCTGCTGAGTCACATGGCCGGCAAACCAGTTTCTCTTGACCAGCGCTTCCACCGGTTCTTTCAAAAAAAAAAAAGAAAAGTAAATAAATGAATAAAAGAAAATATATATGTATATCTTGCTCATCAAATGACAGCGAACCAGATTTCTTCCAACTAACAGTGCAAAACTTCGCCAAACAGATCAGTTTTCCATTTAAACATTGTTTTAAACAGCCAGAACCCTTTGGAAATGAGTAGAAAAGGGGTTATATGCAACAGGCAGAAGACGATCTGGGATTTCATAAATTTTATATATACTTCTTATATATGCTTCAAGAACTTAGTTGATCTAGCCACATCCTAGGGATCTACACAGCTCGAGACTTCAAATATCAATAGTTATTAAATTTCTTTTGACCACATTTATAGATTATATACTCCAGGATCATAGATCTGATATTGGAAACAGAAACTACACATTTTTGAAGGTATAGACTTGGGGGTTGGTATATACACAGTTCTGTATGCCATGCTGATACATTCTTTTTTAAAAATCGGACTATAAGCTCCGAAGTTAGTGAAGAGTGCAACTCCCATACAGTGTGGGGCTAGCCTCTGCGGGAATGTTTGTATCGTCAACTCAGCATTGTGTCTAGGCTATCTTCTATTCGGGCACTCCCAACTACTTGTTTACATAAATAACAAAAACATGCATGTTGGCTGTTTCTTTATCTGCAAGAGGCAAGGTATGCGTAAATTACTTATCTACGAATTATCTTACGAATAGCTAACTTTGGGCGCACAAATTTAGGATCTGAAAATGTCAAAAGATTTGTTCAAATCAATGTGTCTTAATTAAACAAACAAGAAAATATATATTTCATGGCCTGTTCTATTATAATTTTGCCTGTGAATCACAAGCGACAAATAGCCTGAACACGCATGACAACTTACAACCTGTTTGCAACCTACTGGCAACCTGCTTGCAACTCGCTGCTTGCAGTAATCAAATGTTAGATATCGCAGAGTATCGCCAACTTATTTTGACCTCAATAAGGTCGATACATACTTCTTGGCTTCAAGTCGCTTTCACTTAAAATAAAGACTATCCGTGTGCGAGTGCGCGTGTTTGGCTTGCAAATATTTGACATCAACCCGCCTTTTTTTGGCCAGCTTTTATAACTTTTTTCTGTTTACTAAAAATTTCAATTTATATATGTATATACTCTGTATTTCTTTTAAATTTACATTATAGCTCAAGGCCGAACCGCTGATATGAGTGTTTTTTTATTGTATTTCTTTTTTGGTAAACATACCCGACAGTTATTCAATTAAATGTGTGCTTTTTAAGTCGGTTCTCGGGAACTCAGCAATTTGTGCTGATAAACAATTCCTAAATTTCACTCGTAGCTGGTTGTCGGTAAATGTGTTTATATGAATGTGTAAATAATTCGTAAACACCCATCAGACCCAAGTCATATAGATTTTCAGGTATATTTCATCTCAAATTATTTGTTTATATCTGTCGTAATTCTATGACTAGTCCTGACTGCGCCACACCATCCGATATTGATGTGTGCAAACACTTTCCTATAAAATAAGTCGTATCTACTTATAAGTACATATGGGAGTGTTGCTTAAGCGAAAGGTATCTGGTTGCGGTAAAAAACCAGTTAAGCTTGGCGAACAGCATCAGACAGACAAACTGATTCAATTCCAAGAAGTAGGTCGTCTGTTTGGCTATTCGTTTGGCTTACTGCGTGTTCGATGAGTCGTTTATTTCGTAAAGCAGCATATATGGACTTCCCCTGTTGATTAATGCATTTTTAAATATCGCCTTACTATGCGATTCTCATGAATTCAAGTAGACCCTATAGGGTTTCGTACTTTGTTTATAAGTTAATCAAACACGTTGTAGTTGCAAGCCAATAGGCTCTCTTTTTGTATGTATACGCCCTCGTTCAACGCAACCCAATAAAATCGAGCTAGTTTCGAAAGCCCAGCTAACAATTTCTGTTGCCCAACAGAGCCGTTTTGTATGTATATATGTTCTCAATTACGGAATGCAAACCAAATATACTTCTCACAAATTTAACAGCAAATGTCTTATTAATATAGCCCTACTATGCGATTCTCATGAATTCAAGGGAGCCTCACAGTCTTTCATGCTTTGATAGTTAGTGAAGTGTTGCATTAAACAGTGTGTGGTTCTACATGGTATGTTTGTGTGTGATTATATATATATATATATATGTGTGTGCGTGTGTGTATGTATTATATATGTATATAAAGGTGGGAATGTATATTTTTGATTCTCTAATTGATATTTATTTATATTGCAAAGTATTCTATGTTTCAACAATTATGCATATCAAAAAATCGATTCGCAATATTCCAGCTTGACAATTTAAAAATAAATAATTTTTCGGCCAAATTAGGGAAGAGTTAGACTCGAGTTAAAGTATATATGTCTATAGGAAATTTGGAATTTTTTATGGAAACAGCAGCCGCCCAAAACTCGATGGCCGACACCTGCTACAAACTGCGCATGTGCTTATTATTATCACGTCTGCAAATGAGTTTGTTTTGTTTTTGTTTAGTTGCTTTCTTTTTGTTGTTGCTGGCCGAAGCACAGCATTCAAGAACAAATCGCTTATGTGGTGTGCTTTTATAATAGCGTTGACCTCTCAGGCCCCTATTTGCCCCGGCCATGCAGCAGTTGCCATGCGATGGCTTCCAGCTTTGTTTTCTGCTCATGTCAAGGCCGTTCGAATGCTCGGCTCCTCTCGCTCGTCAGCTCGGGAGGCGTGGGTATACAGATTTTTGCTGTGCAGAGCATTTGGAGCATGAGCGGTCGCCACAGTCTGCCAATGCTTGAGCTGCAAATCGTACATAAAAACTAAATATACGCAATTGACATGATAAATGCGCATTTAATATCGCCCTACTATGCGATTCTCATGAATTCAAGTGAGCCTTATGCGTGTTAAATTAACAAGTTGTCTACGCAATCAAATAAGCTCTATTTGTGTATATATGTTTATACTTATACATTTCCAAGACATTTGCCTGATGCTTGACAAGACAATTAACCAGCTGTTAACTAATGTGACACTTGAAACCAAACGAAAAGCTGTCAATTGGAGCTGCGATTGCAAAACAAGCAAACAGCAGTAAAAAGTGCGCATAAAACACAAACTCAAGATAAGCAGGCGTCGAATGCAGGGCTCTAAAATGTGTGTGCGTGTGTGTTTGCTGCGACACCTTCTCTGTTAGGGGGGGTGACAGGCCAAGGCAAGCGTAAGTGGGGAACCACAAACATCGCCCAGCACCCAGAACCTTCATCATCATCATCATCATCATCAGCACTTGGCAGACCCTTCAGTGCCACTAGCTCCCTTTGCCCACTGTCCATTTGAGTTCAGCTCCCTTTAGCTGCGCCCGGGGCAGTTCATGGGGTTCATTCAACTTTGTGCTTCTCTTTTTCTATGCATGCATATCAAGAGACAGTCTCGGTATCAGTTGTTTTTATTATAGTCTGAATTTGTGGTTCTTTTATAGTCATTGATAATGCTGCCTACATGTGTGTGTGTATTTTTGGCCTCAAAGTATTTCAGACACTTCTCAATGTTGTTATTTTTATCATTATTATCAACATTTTTTATGTTTATTTCTACATCGCGTTCTAAATTTATTTGTTTGCAATATATCCTACTAAAACCTGTTTGAGAACATTCTGCCAGTTCGTATCAGCAAAGCCACAGTACAATTATGTGTTTGCCGCTTGGCCAGATATAGCCTCGGTGGCGCAGTAGGCAGCGCGTAAGTCTCATAATCTTAAGGTCGTGAGTTCGAGCCTCACCCGGGGCATGTAATTTTTTTTTATTTTTTTTAATGCTTTCCATTATGCTGTTAGCTCAAAAATTAATAATCTGAGTTCTAGACTGGATTGGAGCATTTTGTGTTTAATATTTAAATATTTTCCTTTTGGTGCTGAGTCATAATCTTAATGGTGCGAGTTCGAACCTCATACGGGACATGTACTTTTTAAAATTTTTTTAATGCTTGTGCTGCCGATTCATGTTCTTAAGAACGGCAGTTCGGGCATCGCGCGTTTTTTTTTATTTTACATTTTTGTTCGAGTGGTAAGGATAATTTGCGAAATATTTAGAAAATATTCTGTGCAACATTTTGCAAGCTTTTGTGGCATCGACAAAGTCGCCCCCTCCGTTGATTGTTGTTCGCTTCATTTTTTTTTTTATTGACTTTAATTGATGTCAAGTGGAGTGTTTGTCCGAGGGAGGCAGTTGAGCATTTGTGCTTCTTCGTTGCGTTAAGCGATAAGAATGCGACTAAGCCGTTTGCCACATTTGCGACACACCCACAAAGCGAATGATATATTGATATGCATTTGTATTTTACTGGCCTGGCAGGCATTAATATACATATAAATAAGGTCGGGACATGCTAAAATCGTATTAGCAGGGAGTGTAGTCCCATTCAAAGACACGTTTATTTTAATCGTTTCTATTCTGCAGTTCGCTGACGCATGAAATGGATGTGCTCGCCGGCGGCCAGAGGAACCAAAGCTGGAGCCAAGCGTGTTAGAAGCATTTCAAGAGCGTAGACCGACGGCCACATTTAGTGTAGACACAGAATATACGGCCACAGAATGACACCAGCTCCGGGCGAACATCTCAAGTTCAAGACGACACGCCACAAAAGCGGGCTTGTCCTGGCAATATGCAGTCTCAGCGTGTTTATGTCCGGCTTTGCCCTGACCACGCTAATAAGTCCAACTCACGCAGACGAGGGAAACGCCGAGGTGTGGCGCGTGGCCACCGCCCACGAGAAGCTCGGGCAGCTACATTTCTCCACGGCTGAATTTACCGAATACAAATCAAAGGCCAACTATACCAAAGAGCCGAAATACTCCACTAAAGCCATGGATCCCGTGTACAATTTTACGCGCTACTTCTTTGGTTTTATCCTGCCGGATGAGGCCGCCATTCCGCCAGGTGAGCTACTGTGAAAACTCTATAAATTATATCGTATATTAACATCTCTATTCCTTGCAGGCTACGTGGTCGTCAAGGACGGCAATTATTTGGCCTTGGGCCCGAAGGTGGAGAACAATGACTGGCGCGATCTGCTGACTCAGTACTGGATGGTGCTTATCGCGGTTGTTATCCTGGCTATCCTGGCAGTCATCATGCCCATTATAGCGTAAGTAAAGCCTTAAAAAAGTCGGGGGTTCCAGTTTACATTTAAATCTTTAATTTATAACTGCCCAAATATGGCAAGTCATGGGGATTGTAGTATTGAAGATGCTCGCCAAATTTTAACTCTGCCCAAAATGGACATCTACCAAATATGGTTACAGAAATCCAATTTTTGCAGCCCAAGTTATTTGTGCCTTGGGGCTGAGTCACTCGCAACAAAAGTTCTTCTTTTAAAACCATTTTTGTCTTATTTCACAGCGTCTGCTATTGCTGCTTCTGCTGCTGTCGACGCTGCAAAGAAGGATGCCCGCCCTGCGACAGTCAGAAAGACGCTCGCAGGCGCTGCTGCTGCGGACTATTGCTCCTGTTGCTCATCATTGGAATTCTGTAGGTTCTAAACTAAGTTTTTACATAATAAGCAATTAATTCATCTTCATATATTCTTAGTTTTGGTGTCATAATTGCATTTGCGACCAATCGCTTGCTGGATCGCGGCTTAGAGGAAACAACCACGACAATGCGACGCGGCAGCCAAGACACCTGCACCTACCTAAAGGATGTGTCGGACCACATACATCATCTGCTCGTAAATAACTATGGCGAGATGGACAAACATCTAAGCGATATCTTAACAAGTAAGATCTAATATATAGACGTAGCCCAATTTATATATTAACTGAATCCTTCGACTTCTTGCAGATGCTCATACTCACATATTCCTGGACTTAATGGATGCTTCGGAGGCCAATGCGGTATATGACTTGAAGCGCATATTGGAGAACATGGAAGAGGCACAAAAGCTGATCAAGGAGGTGGATAAATTGGAAAAGGATTTACGTTTCTATGGCACACAGCTGCGCGACGGTACACAATCGAATTATTTTTATTAATATTATATTCAAATTAATTTATTTCGATGATTATTAGGCGTTCGTGGCGTTAAGCGCGACGTTAACTATGCTTGTGCTGTGCTGTGCGGCAATCGGGAATGCCTACACTTTTTGAAAAAGACAGAGATCGAGTTCCTCGACAATTCAAAGTGTCTACAATTCGATCAGGTGAGATTTGAATTCTTTAATTAAAATCGGTATCTAACTTTTGCTCCATTTGCAGCTGCCAGACACCACGTACTATTCAAAGGCCATCGAGTACATCATTGCGAAGAACAGTGGCAAAACAACCAAGGAAGTGATCGATCGTCTGCAATATGTGGGCAAGAGGATTAAGGCTGGCATAGATCCCCTAATACCACCGATAATCCGTGATATCCACAATGGACAGGAACAGTTCCGCACACAGGCAAACAACATACGCAGCATGATAGATGCGGCCATTAGCGACATTCATTTAAATACTGTCAGATCCACAAAGGCGTTCGAAGATGTTTACGACAAATATGGAGCTGATCGCAGCATCATCAATGTCATTGTCTGCTCTGTGTTATTGATCGTAAGTGTGCTCTAGGCGTTAAAAAAAACCTAGTCGTACTCCGATTCTTATCGCGTACTTTATTTCAGATTCTCCTGTTTCTAATTATTGCGCTGATCTGCGGCTGTTGTGGACGTCGTCGACGTGGCTATCGCGATGATTGCTGCAGCAAGGGCACGGGAGCTTCCTGTCTCCTACTGTAAGTGCCTACAATTGTTCCTTTTTATACCCTAAACTGGACATTTTTTTTATTGTAGCGCCATGTTGCTGATATTCTGCGTGTTCTCGATTGTCGTGCTGGTAGGCCTTTTCTACTTTGTTGTGGGTCTGGCCACCTACCAGGGTGCATGTGCGCCGCTGCGGGATCAGGAATCGAATGCGCTATTTCGCCAGCTGAATTCAATTATTGATCTTAATCAATATTTGCCAAAGAGCGAGCTCAAGTCGGAGACACCGTTGCCGCCGCTGCGCATCTCGAATGCGATTCGGGCGTGTCAAGCTGACCAGTCGATCTTCAAGCTGCTGCAGGAAAATGATTTATATGATATTGACGATCTAGTACGCTTCAAGGTCATCAGCGAAACGCCTTCGGTGCCCATATCGCTGGCAAATTTGGACAACTTCACCATACTCACGGAGAAGGACAAGCGTGACCTGGCGGAGCTGCGTGGCAGTAATCTTTCCAGCTATCACAGCAAGGTCTTTACAGACGTCATGTGCACTCAGTTGACGCCCGTTGATTTGCCCACAATGGCCAATCAGCTGAAGGAGTTGCGAGCCAGTCTCTGGAGTCAGTGGGGCATTTACGACTGGGCCCGAACCTCCCTATACAACGAGGCCTACAACCTGCAGAGATATCACGATGAGTTTGTAGAGAAGATCAAGAGCATTATAAGCAAAATGACGGAGAAGCTATTGAAGATTGATGAACTTATATTATATAACGGCAATGCATTTGGTGAATCCATAAAGAAGCTGCACGAATCAACGGAACGCTCAGAAGTATTCCTGCGGGCTAATGGCGAACAGTATGTCAGTGGACTGCGCGCAAATCTGACTAGTTACATCAAGGAACAGGTCGTGCAATATATCGAAATGGTCGTGGACAAGTGCCACGGCAACGTGGGAAAATGTGCACCACTTGCCCAGGTCTATAATCGCAGTGTGGACTTGATATGCCATCGTCTGGTCGATCCAATGGTATATATACAATTGAATAATACAAAAATATTTATTAATATTTCTTTTTTTTTTAGAATGGTTTCTGGGTGGGCGTGCTGCTTTGTGGCGTGCTCTTCCTGCCCGTACTGTTTGTAGCCCATCGTTTGCTGTGCTTATACAAGAAGATTGATCCGTATTCGGCGCCACCGGTTGCCATTGTTGAGGGCGGGTAAGTCGTCCGCCATTGTTATGTGTCCGGTTATCGAAGAAGATAAATGTTATGTTCGTTTTGCATGGCCTTGCTTTGAATTGGGAGCCCTGCTTCGAGTCAGCCGAATCAAACATGTTGCAGAGACGAGTTCGGATTTCGTGTGCATGAATGTTGGTTTGCGTCTGTTGGTTCGATGGGGTCGAGTTGAATGCAAGTGAATGCAGGGCTCTACCTAGATTTAAACGGTCAACATTGTGAGCCTTGCATCGAGTCAGCCGAATCAAACATGTTGCTGAGTCGAGTTCGAACTTCGTGTGCATGAATCTTGGTTCGATTGAGTATCGAATTGAATGCAATTGAATAAACCGATGCAGGGCTTTGCCTAGAATTAAACACACAACATTATCAATTAATTGGCCTAATTTGGAATCATCTCACATGTGTTTCATTTTCATTTCATCGCTAACCCATCGCCACATAATGCACGCAGCAGTGACTATCTATACGATGCCTATAGCGAGCGCGAGCGCGAGCACGTGCCACTGGCCAAGTAAGAGAGAAGGCAGCTTCCCAACTGCTTTGATTGAATAACTTCAATTCACGGCTCGTGTTTCTTCTGCTGTTTTTTTAGTGTGCCAAAGAAGCGACGCAAGGCGTACGATCGACGACGCGAACAGCAGGAATACTATGAGGATGCATCGCCAAGCGTGTCGCGTGTGGCACGTTCCGGAGCTGGCGGTGGTCCTGGCTGCGTTGTGGATGCAGCTGCCGGCAGCAGCAATATGCGCTATAACGATGTGGCACCCACGTAAGTGCCACGCCCTCGCGTGTTCCGCCTTATAAATATTGCATTTAGCTAGAGTTAAGAGCCGTCATTGTCTAACTCGTATAACTAACACGAATTAACTGAGACATAGACAGCAACTGGAATAATTGTGGCTAACATTTAATGGCCGCCGAATTTAATTGCTATTTTTTGGTTTCGTTTTATTTAGCGCTAAAGTTGCGGCTGTAGATACAAGGCCAAAAGCACTGGCGACAGATGGTTTCTTTTAGGCATATCATATCATCCGAAGTGCAAATGGTTTGGTTTACATATCGAGTCTGTATATTATTTGCTTATGTAAAAACTCCAAGCAGTTTGTGTGTGCCAGTGTGTGTAATGTTGTGTGTAATCATATCATTTTTGCTATATATAGCCAGTCCAAAGAACATTAACTGGAAACACCTCATTGCCTCATTCTCAACACATTTCACATTTGCGCTGACAATGTTTCTCGTTTCTTGAATAACTACAACTTTGCCCCTTCGATTGCAACTAACTGCTTCTGTTTCTAAAAGCAAAACCACATTTGACCAACAACTAATCGAAAGCCGGAAAGAAAGGCTTTTTTCGGCACGCCGAAGACTTAATACCCTTGTAGTATTGTTTGCAATGTTTGCCTAGAGATAGGTTAAAGGAGTCTGATGTTGATAAATGCCAAGGTTGATTCGTTTTTCATAGAAGAACTAAATTAAAGACAGCTTAATGGTAAAGTGATCCGATCCGGTCTGTTCCGACATTTGCGCTGCCCACAACATAGAGACGAACCTCTTCCATAAGGCTGTTGGATAAATTGCCTCTGCTGTGGAAAATTATTATAGTTAATAGGTCTGGAGATGTCTTTATTCCTGAGCTTCGCACACTTCATGAAAAAATTAAAATGCCCTCTGCAAGGGTATAAGAAAACAAATACTAAATGCAGCTGTTGCCTCTGCTTAAATGTTTTTTTTTTTTGTGTTGTGCGTGAGTCGTCGCAATTGACGTTGAATTAAATTCCAATGCGATGTTTAACTCACATTTCCATATTTATGTATATATAATCAAAATATTCGTAACCAATTTGAATTTTGCGTACACAGACACTGGGACCACGAGCCGCCGCGCTACCACAATCCGCCCGTGGCGCCGCCATCATCCGAATATGAGCGACCTCCGCCGTACTATTATCCGGGTGCCTCCGACCAGGATTAAGCATTGGACGGCGTTCAAAAAGGACTTTGTTGGGCTGGCTTTAAGAGGAGAGATATGGCAAATGACGTATGAATTTCATTTTTGCAACAACAACAACCCAATTTTTACTGAGACTGTAATTTTAGTTGAAAGTTAGTTCTTTATTTAGAGTTATGTAATTTGTAGCATCACGTGTTGAAATATTTTTTATTTTTATTTTTTTTTTCAATTTTTGGAACTGTATCAGACGACGATCTGCCAGCGCAATTCGAGACAATGATATAAGAGTAGGCGCGATATAGTAAAGATTAGTTATAAACAAAAGTAAATCACAATACTCCATAAACAAACACAAACACATATATAATTATATGTATATTGTTTAAACACATTGAAAATGTTGCCAAAAGAATAGCATGAAAAGAGTTGAAGAGGAGGAATAGCAAGCGATGCGATTGGGTTGAAATCTATATGAATATGCACAGCTAAAGCATTTAATAAGTTAATGTTCAAAACAACAACAACAAAACAAAACAAAAACAGAAACAACAAAAAGACCACAAGGAAATATCCCAAAAGAACTCAAGAGATAGATCTCACAGCTCTCACGAACTTGAATGTAACCCATAATATTATTGTGCACAGCAATTGCAGGCAGCCCCACAATAATCAAAAAAAAATATATATATATATATTAAATTGCAGACCCGATAATTTTATGGAACGTCAAGTATATAAATATATATATAAATATATATTTAAAATTAAAACCAGAACTGCCATTTTAATTTAGTGGATCAGAGCAGCAGGCAAAACTCACACACAAAACTCTGTCTGCCATTTTTGATGCATTTAATTTACGAGTGTTTGTATTTATTTTCCAAGAAACTAATACACACACAACCAGACTTCCTTAAAAAAAAGAAAGAAAAAAACAAACCCCAAAAAATCGACGCAATGAAACTTTATAATATAAACGTGTACTTTGAATTGTCATAGATTTAGTAAGACAATGTTTCAATCTCTACTAAATAAAAATGTTTTAAATTATATAAAAAATGCTGGGCAAACTGCAAGTAGCCAAAATAATAATTAAAATTTAAAAAAAGAAGAAGAAAAACTAAAAATTTAAAACAAAAAAAAAATGCACACATACACACGTATTAAATATGTATTTTAGTTAAGCATTATCTATAAAAAAAAAAAACCGAAAAAACCAACAAGTATTTATGAATGTATGTAATTTTCATATTATTTACGTACATCTCATGAATTTTCTGCCTATGTCATTTTTAGTGTTTTACAATAAGCCAATAGTATGGAATCAAAGTTTTAAAGCTAACAGAAAACCAATTACTGTGAAAATATAAATACAAATAAAAATTACAAAAAAAATGTCACTATGTTAAGTCTGGACCTCTGCGATATATCGGAGCATACGCCAAGGCACAGGCTCAACTGGAAGCTTGATGCCCTGGCTGGATCATGACTGGATCCAGGCAGACATGACTACAAAAATACTTTAAACAAATAGGAAAATAATTAACGTCAAGAGGAGTCGCCCGCTGCAGTCGTCAAGTAAATATTGTAAAAAGAATTGTAGAACATATTTGAACTTTCATTCCAGCTAAGCTCGAGCCAGGCCGCCTTTGGCAGTCTGTGTTAGAATTGTCACAGCAAATTTTAAAAATTCATCGAAAAATGTCATACATCTCATCAGTATTACAATATCAGTTGAACCGTGCCGGAGCTCCTGCAAATTATCTAATAGATTGTGATGACACCTTGTTTTAAAGTGCTTAAAATTTACAAGAAGCTGAAGAGGAATTAAATGCTAATATTCTTGCTTTTCATGCTGGTAAGTAAACTCCGCCTAGCTACTTATTATGATTGTAGGTCTCTATTATATATTATGAACTGGATGTTGATTTTATAATCACAAATGTTGGGTTTTCTATTTTATGGAAACCACAAGGCCATAACTTGTCTAGATTCGACATCATTGCACCAAGCTATGGTCATTTGTATGCTTGTTTTCCTATATTAAGCTCCAACTAAGCTGACTTTACATATGTTCACAAATATGTACTCACTAGTTACAAGTTAACTTTGATAGCTACGAACCCCACTGCGTTGCAAATTGAAGTGACGCCTTCCTATGCGATTCTCATGATTTTAAGTAAGGCTTACATGTTTTCATGCTTTGACATTAAGTAAATGTCAAACTTATACATTCTCTCTCTCTTTCTCTCGCTATTTCCCTTTTCACTCCTGTCAGCTTTAATTCTCATCCGGTCTCTACTTTTGTTCTTTTAGTGATGCAAATCTCTCTCTCTCTCTTAACAACTCGTACGCTTTTAATTTTTGGGTAAGCACACAATGACATATGAGTATATATAATATGTTAAGGAAATTTAGAACTAAGCACTGTCTGGTATATTCATATACATATCAAGACCTGCGAGCCTGGCATTAATCCATTAATCCAAGCGGAAATTACATGAGAATGCCAAAAGATTCATCCAATTACGTGAAGTCCAGGACGAAACACCGCAAACGCGTGGCATCTTTGGCAATATGCGGCATCAGGATAATATTATTTGGCTGCGCCTTGTCTACGTTAATGAGGCCTACTCAAGCAGAAGTCAAAGAATTGACAGCCGAAGAAGTGGACAGTGTCATAGGACCGCGCTCGGACAATGCCAACGCCGGCGAGCAGATGGGACATCTTCACTTTCCTTCGATAGAATATACCCCATTCGAATCGAAGGCAAACTATACCGAAGAAACAATTTACTCGACTGCGTTCACAGATAGTCTGCACGGTTTCACCCACAGTCTATTTGATAAGATCGTAGTCAGAGGGCATTTAATACCGCCCGGTGAGTAGATTAACAAACTTTTGTTCGACCCGTCGTAAGAGCTGCTGAATTGTAGGCTACATAATGGTCAAGAATGGCGACACTTTCGCTCTGGGACCCAACGTGGAAAAAAATGATTGGCGCACTCTTCTATCGGAGTATTTTGTAGCACTTTTCTTGGTGATATTTCTGCTCGTCCTGATAATTATCATGCCTTTTTTGGGGTGAGTATGCGTGAACTTACAAGAATTCAAGTGAAACAATGCTGTGAGCCAGAGTTTGAACCAGCGTCCGGTTCAAAACAGGCTTGATGGCTTGCTGAAGAAAGCATTTCCAACCCCATAAAGTATATAAATATATTCTTGATCAATAGCCAAATCGATCTAGCCAAGTCCGTCTGTCTGTCCGTCCATCCGTATGAACGCAAGGATCTCAGAATCTTTAGAGATTTGATATTTTAAATGTAGTTCCTCCTAATGCCCGCGCAGTACGTGTTTGTTACCGATAATCGATAATATACCTCGTTACCAGGTAATCGATAAGAATCCACAACAATTTACTTTTTGAGAGTATAAAAATGTATAGTACCACAGTACAATAAGATCTACTGTTGAATATTTCATCAAGGTCGGTTAAGAAACACAAACGTTGTTAAAGAAAATGTGCTTCGGCTGGCCTCGCGTTTGCTGCATCTGGCGCAAATTGCAATTGTATATATGTGTTCAGAGGATTTTCTAGTCCAGAGCCTCTTACTGGTTTTATCCTGTCACAGGGTCTGCTATTGCTGCTTCTGCTGCTGTAAACGTTGCTCACAAGGATGTCCGTTCTGCGATAAAAAGGACGACGACTGCAGACGCCTGATCTGCGGTATTATACTTGCCATACTTTTAATTGGAGTTCTGTAAGTCTTGAAAGCAAAACCTCAACACTTACATTACCTCGATCCCTTGCCAGTTTCGGAATGATCGTTGCCATTGCCTCGAATATATTATTGGACCACGGTTTTGAATACACAAGAGAGACCATGCGTCGCGCCAGCCAAGACACTTGCACCTTCTTGCGCGAAACATCCAACCATATTGAACATTTGCTTGTGCGTAACTATCAGGAGATGGATACGCATATGACCGACATTTTAATAAGTAAGATTCCCTTCGAGAGTTCAATTTATTTGTATAGCCGTAAAGACATTGAAATATGTTTGAGGTAGAGTGTATATTGTCATGATTAGGATCTATACGATTCGTCTGTCCGTCTGTAAAAGCCTAGAAAATCTTGAGACTAACAATTTCATATATATATATATATATATTCGCAGAATATATATATATCGCAGAATATATAACCTCTTTCAATTCGCCGTGGGCTTTGGTATATACACACTTTTGTATGCCATATTTAATCCTTTAAAATTTCATAAAAATCGGAATATTAAAACCCGAGTTAATCAAGAATTCATTTGCCATGGAGTGTGGTTCAGGGATAAAGCACAGTTTCTGCTTTAAAAGAGAGGGAAACTGAAATGTTTTTAAAGGTAGCTCGGCTTAGGGTATTCTCTACTCGGGCACTTCCGACTAGAGTCCTCTCTGGCTAGTCGGGTATTTTTCTTGTTTATATTTTTCAGATGCACATCATCACGTATTCATGGACCTGTTGCAAACTTCGCAAGCCGATGTATTGTTTGATATCGAGCGCATATTGAATAGCATGCCAAAAGCGTTGGTTCTGTTCCGGGAAGTGCACAAATTGGAAAAGGATTTGCGTTTCTATGGCGCACAGCTGCGTGATGGTAAATAATATCCGACCTTTCGGCTCTTTATGATCCCTTCCTGATTTCAACAGGATTGCGTTCTGTTAAGCGTGACCTGTCGTTTGCCCTTGCTGCGCTGTGTGGCAATCGGGATTGCCTGAACTTCTTGAAGGGCTCAAATATCGAGACGCTGGATACGTCCAAATGTCTGCACTTCGATGAGGTATGGATTCTAGTTTCAAGGTAATGTTAAATCAAATTCTTCTCTCTCTCTCTCTCTCTCTCTCTTTTGCAGCTGCCTGTGTCCTCCAAGTATATTCATTTGGTCGATGAGCTTATTCACAACGATACCGCCAATATACCCAGCGACGCAATTTATCGTCTCCAGTCAATAGGGGTATACATTAAGCAAGCCATAGATCCTGTGACCCCGCCCCTAATACGCGATCTGCACGAGGGCATCACTCAGTTTCACAACCAGGCCCAAAATATGCGCAATATCATCGATTCCGTGATAAGCCACATTCACTTTGAAACGCTTAAGGGTACCAAATCGCTCGATGATGTCTACGACAAATTTGGAGTCTATCGTAAAGGCTCCAATCTACTTATTTGCGTCATGCTGGGAATCGTAAGTGTTCTAACCAAGTTTAGTTTTTACTATTAACAGAAGCCCAAACATAAAACAAACCTTTGGAGGGCAACTGCACTCCATAGCATAAATCCAGCATTAAATATATTCAAGCATGTTTTTTAAATCCCAAATTTGGGTTACAATCTAGGCTTATTTTCAGTAGAGCCGAAGGCAGGGCACTGGTTCGAGTTCTGGTTACAGCATTAAAGTAGAACGGGCTTATTAAAAACTAAACTAAACTAACTTTCAAAATGTGAGAACCAAATTTTAAATCTAGGCTGGATAAACAGCTTCACGCACCTTCCTTAACCTCTATATTTATTCTAATTTTAAGTTTCTGTACCAATTTTGGAATCCATATCTGGGTTCAAGGACGTGGATAAACAGTTTTACGCAGTCAACCCAAGGCAGGGCGCTGATTCAAATGCCTAGCTGTGTTTCGAGTGATCTAACTAAATGTATTTCCTTTCAGGTACTCTTTCTTCTCATCCTCGCGCTGATATTCGGCTGCCTTGGGCGCCTCAGACATAGCCAGGCCGTGATCTTCTGCAGCAAGGGCACCGGAGCTATCTTTCTGTTTTTGTAAGTGAAGGAGCTGTCGCAAATGAAGAGACGTCGATAACCTGTCCCCAATCCTGTACACAGTGCCATAATATTGATATTCTGCGTGTTGTCGGCCATCTTGCTGGTTGGCCTATTTTACTTTGTCATTGGCCTGATCACGTACCAGGGCGTCTGTGCGCCGTTGCGGGATGAGACAAAGAACGCGTTCTTCCGCCAGATGGACGCGACCATTGATCTGCAGCAATATTTTCCAAAAAACGATTCGAACTGGCAACCAGCCGCACCGATGCACATCTCGGCTGCCATCGAGGCGTGCGAGGCAAACGAAACGATCTTCAACTTGCTGCAGCGGAACAATTTGTACGATGTCAACGATCTGGTGCGCATAGAAGTTATCGCAGCTCATCCAACGCCAAATGGAACCATATTTCCGGCGAATGTGTCCACCTATGAGGTGCTCACCCAGCAGGAGAAGGACGGTCTAAATGTGGCGGCGCAAAGCAATCTGTCGGACTATCACAGTTCGATATTCCTAAAGCATTTATGCAAAACGGTGGCACCTGTCGACCTGCCCAGAATGATTGCTCAGCTGAGAAATTTGCGATCCGGCCTGCCCAGCGTTTGGGGTATCTACGACACGGCGATTATTGCCTTGGGCAACCAGGCATTCGCCCTGGAGAAATACAACAAAGAGCTCGCTGATAGGGTTCGATCTACTCTCATTAAACTGACCAATAAACTACTCGAGATCGATAGACTTATACTGTACGAGGACAGACCGTTCGGCGAGTCTATCGAGAAGCTAATCCAATTGGCGGATGCCTCCGAAGTGTACCTCAGAAATTCGTCCGAATCGCTTGTCAATGCACTACGGCAGAATCTCTCGCTTTTTCTTGAAGATGAGGTCGCCAACTATATCGAAATGGTCGTCAATTTCTGCAATCGCGATGTTGGACGCTGCGCACCACTTGCCTACATATATTACCGTGGTGTGGACCTGATTTGTCATCGTCTTGTCGATCCAATGGTAAGCTGATCACATTTCGCACACATACAGGGATATATATACATATATTAGAATCTATATTCTGCTGACCAACTGATTGTCTCAAGCCCAAACACCTTGTGAATAGGGCCCTCGCCTAAACGTGGCCTTGAGAAATTCCACCTGCAATTGTGAAAAAAGCGCTGAAATCGTTTGCATGAATGGATGTTTCACACTTTTTAGAAAATACTCTCCTTGACGAATTGTGCATGAGGGGTGAATATGGGTCGAAGAGGGGTGAATCTCTACAAATTCATTAGACATTTGCTCTACGCTCTTTGCATGATTCTGCCCTAATCGATAAAAAATACGAGTCAAAGTTAGTTTAAACGAAAGTTTAGTTATCGAGAGGTTCCACTTGCTCTTCATTTTCAAATAAGTGAAATAAAACATGGATTTAAGATAGATTTAAGGGAAACAGATGATAAAGATTTAAAGCTTAATAATTGGACCTGGCAAGGGCGTAAAATACTAGCTTGTGTTATATATTTAACATATAATTTATGTTCATTGATTTATTTGTCTATTTGCCTTTTCGCCGTAGAATGGTTTCTGGTTGGGCGTCCTGATCTGTGGTGTGCTGCTCCTGCCAATCCTGTTTGTGGCCCATCGCTTGCTGTGCCTGTACAACAAGATTTATCCGTCTTCGACAGCAGCTGTCGCCGTGGCCGCGGGCGGGTAAGTCTCACGTCTTCTGTCTAGTGTTCCATTTCAGTCAACGCTGTCCAACAACTGCCCAAAGCTGTCCAATCTGCACAGGCGGCGGCTTACCTGGATTACCTCTATTGCCAATTACCTTCGGTGTATGCAATGAATTGGATGACAATCGTTATACGGATAGAAATGCTGCCGTCAGGCCACCAGCAGCTGCCGACGAGCTCGAGAGTTTGGAGTCGCCGCTGTCGATAAGCAGCAAGCATAAACAAGAATAACAAATTACAATTTAACTAAACCCATATTTTCTTGTCCGTTCTTTAAATGTATATTTAATCGAATGTTTTTTCTGCATTGTGAATATAACTAAAGTAATATATTTTTCACATAATCAAATGTACGAACTGCGATGCTCCTGTTCAGCTAAGAGTTGCTGCTGCTGTTCGCCTGGTAACCAAAATAATAGCATGATTGCAGTCGAAATAAAATACCAGGCGAACAGAATCGACAGTTCGTTTATGGGATGCTCCTGTTCATCTAAGAGCAAAGCCTTCAGCCTACTGTTCGCCTGGTATAGAAATTAATAGCATGACTGCAGTCAAAATAAAATACCAGGCAAACAGCAGCGGCAGCTTCCTAAACTCAATAATAATCTTAAATGTTATTCTTGAATTACCAGGTGCCAGAGATCAAGAAAGCATTGATTTGATTACTTCGCTTATTCTAACTTCACTTGCTGAGCTAAGAAAAATAAGCTGTCATTGCTGTTCGCCTGGTTTATTTCGACCAATATAATCCGTTTCTTATCCTTTTCGACCAGAGTATTACTGCCTTTGGAAAGCTGTGCTTCAACTGTCACATCAAATCCCAACTGCTGAACTCCTGTAATACATTTGATCAGTTTTACAAAAGCATTTGAACCGTAAGGTAACCTCTTTCTATATCTTTTTAGTGTTTTTTACACACAGGTGAGTTTGATATACAAGATCACGACCTTTGGGTCTTTCAGTTTATTTTACAACATTAAATCGTGTTGGGCAATTATCAAAGCGCAGGAGTCGTGGGTGTTGGATGGCCACATTTATAAGGCCAGGCTGCAGAATGGAAATTGGTTCCTTTAAGTGGCCCATTGGCTCTGAGGGTCATGGCACCACCCATGAGAAGCAATATCCGAATGCAAAGTTTAGCCAATGTAGATCGGAGACACACTATGACAAAGAGCCTGACCTTTCCGTTTTGGCTCTGAGACCCATTTTTCACGTCATGCACACCATATTCGATAAGCTGCATTGGACGAAATTACCATCGGGTTTGTAATATTTTATTATATTATATTAAGTTTACAATCCATTTCGCATTTTAGGCTACGTTCAGGTCAATTACGATATGTCCTTCGCCTTCGGGCCCAAGGTATTGCGAAATGATTGGAACGAGTTGTTGGCGCATTATTGGTTGGCATTCTTGGGTGTGGTTTTAATGATCATTCTCATTATTATCACGCCCCTCATAGGGTGAGTTTTAAATAAGAGCAGTGATTTGAACCATCGTCCTTTCATATACAACATGAAACCCTTTCATACTTTTCGTCTCGCCACAGCATCCTTTATTGCTGCTGCCTTTGCTGCTGTCGACGTTGCCCGCAAGAATGTGAAGCAGGATCACAATAGGGAAAATAGTTAGTGCCTGGTTTTTGAAAATTCCACCTGCAAGCGTGAAAGAAGCGCGGAAAACGTTTACCATTCGATTGGGCTCAAGTTCATTATCAACAAAAATCCTTGTGCTAATTCATTTTAGCAGTGCTTCACACCTTTAGCAAAGTGAACTGCTTGACGGAAATGTGGTTCAAAGTTTCGCCAGGTGAAGTTACTAATTTAAACTCATAAAAAATCTCATGCAAACTGTTTTAAAGATTATTCTAACTTGGTACCTTTGACCTTCAAACACATTTTCATGAAGCCATATATACCCTATACATTTGTTAATACCAGTCCTATTTTCTCTTTGTAGAATGGCTTCTGCTCTTCTTGCCTATCAAGATTTATCCTAGACTAGCTGTCGCCGCTGTCGAGGGCGGGTAAGTATTCAGCTGTCTGCTAAATAGTATCGCATTTAAGTTTCAAAGGAGGACCTCAGAGATGTGAAATCGGAGTCCATCTGAAGGCGACTACGACGGAGGCAGCAGCAAGCACCAACACGAATAGCAAATGCAAATTCACACTCGAAAATAGCAAGTTTTTCATCAGAATTCACATATATTTCTTTAATATTTTATTTAATTAAATGTATCCAAGTAGCAGTTGTCGCAATAACACTGCTTAGGTTATTTTCATGAACAAAAAGCCAAATCTCGTGAAAATCGGTTAATTGTTGACCAAGTTATGCGGGTCGGAAACTTCGACCAATGTCTATATACGAATCCTAAGGATTATATTCACATGAATTTCGACCCAAAAATATGTGTTCAGATTAAAATGCCAGATTTT